CGTTTTTTTGGGAGCTGATCGAGTTGGATGGAACAACGGCTGATGACATCACAAAGGCGTTAATGGAGTGTCTTGGAAGAGATTTTAACGAGGACTTTTTAGGTCAGTGTTTCGTTTCTTTTGCATGTGATGGGGCTTCAGTCATGCTAGGGAAGAGAACAGGCGTTGCTATCCAGTTGTGTAGTAAATTCCCAAGCCTGTTTGTGTGGCACTGCTCCAATCATCGTCTAGAGCTGGCAGTTGGGGATGTGGTCAAGGAGGTCTCAGGGCTCAATCATTTCCAGATCTTTTTTGACAAACTCTATTCCTTGTTCCATGCCTCCCCCAAAAATCAGAGGCAGTTAGCGCAGTGTGCGCAAGCAGTCGGACAGCGTCTCCTGGTGATAGGGTCCATCCGCTGGGTGGCTTCAAGTGAAAGGAGCGTCAGAGCAGTCTGGGAAAACTACCGAGTGCGTCATGATCACTTCACAAATGCTGCAAACGACACGAGCAGGGATTCCAGAGACAGAGCAAAGTACAAGGGCCTGGATGATGTGCTCACATCTGCAACGTTTGTCAGCAATCTGGGACTGATGTACGATGCGCTCACAGAGCTCAGCGACCTCTCTCGGCAACTCCAAAAAAGAGAGATGACACTGCCTACAGCAGATAGGCTCTTAACTCGAGAAATACGAGTTTTTGAATCCATGGTCACCATGCTTGGCCCACACATGACTACAGTTCATACAGCTCTAGCTGAGAAGTCCTTCAAGGGTGTTGCCCTGCGTGAGAATGGCAGGCTTGAACAGATTCTTGCAGGTCAGTTTTTCCGCAGTATGGTAGAGAATCTGAGACACAGAATGACTTCCACAACCTCCTCTCATGTCAGCACAAGAGAAATCCCATTACATGGCCGGGAGGCCCGGGACAATCAGCTAATCCAGGACATGAAAGTTATCCATCCTGGAAGTTGGCCTGAAGAGGAGTTAGACGTACAGTATGGGGACGTAGAGGTGCTACGTTTGTGCGAAGTGCTGAAAGTGGACAGAAGAGAGACTGTTCAAGGCTTTCGCGAATACAAGGAAACCAGGGCATCCCGTACACCTGCTGCCATGGAGCCTCTACTGAAAGCAGTCCGAACCATCGCTGTCTCCACTAGTGAGTGTGAGCGGGCATTCAGCTGCATGAACGATATCCTTACTGCAAAAAGGAATGCTCTCTCTGTCAGCCGACTGTCCAGCCTGGTTTTCATTAAATGTAATGGACCATCACTAGGACAGTTCAATCCGGAACAGTATGTGAGGTCCTGGCTGGCAAAGGGAAGGAGAAGTGCTGATGAAAGAGCCTGTCCAGCTCCAGCCCCTGATACTGATGTCCCCAAGGCCTTCTGGAGCCTTTTCTAACAATGTGAAGTATATTGCAAAGCAGCTCACCCAGTGAGAAGACTTTTGGCATAATGTGCCGATTTGTACAGATCCTGGAGATAGAAGGACTTCAGACCAACCAGGGAGTTATCTGATCAGCTTGGTGTTCAATGTAACTCTTTACCATGGCTCAGACTTTGTTACTTGCAGTTACAGTTTCTCATTTTAGATTGTGCAAATTTTGCATTTGTTTTTACATGTTCTTTGTTCATGCTCTTTATCATTTTTCTGAGTTGGAAAGTTAGATTGCATCATAGTTTACTTTATACATATTTGTATTCTTTAGTGGTGAAGTATATTGCAAAGCAGCTCAGCCATGTGAGAAGACTTTTGGCACTTTTTCGTTTTCTGAGTTGGAAAGTTAGATTGCATTCAAAATGTACAGAAATACTTAATTTTGTTAAAGCTTTTTATAAAAAATGCTTCTGACCAGAGCTTTGTTTCCTTGTCATTAATGTTGAACACCACCAGAGTGGCTCTCACCTGAAAAGTCTCTGCTTCATGTGTCTTCAGCAGAAGATCTAGACTTTGATTGCTATATTTTCAGTTAATATTGACCTTACTGAGCTTTAGCCATATCCGCTGCCTATCATAAAAAATGTTAAGTACAGTGAACCTTTCTAAAATATACAGTAGTAAAGAGACAAACCCACCAGCATTATAGTAGCCAAATTCTTGTTTGTGGGCTGTATATATAAAATTGACTTGAAAAAGTTGCTGATTTTAGAGTACTGGCACCTTTTTCATTCCAATTCAAGCACTGCGTAAAACACCGCATTACACTGATGCTTTTACAGTTAAACAGTGTTATTTGTTTGGTATGTTTCTGTAAAATTGAATGGGATTCAATGTACAATATACAACAACTGCATGTAAATCTTACTGAAATAATCAGTTTAATAGCAACGTGATCATGCTAATTCAGCAGAAAAGGGCTGTTGAAATTACAGATTTAAAATGTAAATTACAACAGTTTTAAACTGTAAAATATACACGTTGTTCTGTAAAGTTGTTTACAGTTTACCGTATTTTTTACATCATTATTCTGGCAACAAAGCTGCCAGGTTTTTACCGTAAAAACAACGGGTTTTTTTTTTTACAGTGTGGTGAAGGCATCTGTGCATTGTATGCATTATTTTTGACCCAACATTTCTACAGGCATGGCAGAATATGGCACTATTTTCACATGAATATTCTAGCCCTTGTCTATTTGTATACCACGAGCTGCAAAATGACCGCCTTACCCCACTGTACAGGCGGGTACTTGTTTAGATATACCTGGGCAGGCTCTGTTTTGCAGTGTTGCCAACTTGGCGATTTTCTCGTTAAATTTGGCGGATTTCCAAACCCTCCGGCGACTTATTTGTGTCAAAAGCGACTAACGACTAATCTAGCGATTTATAATGGTGTTATTAGCGACTTTTCTGGTGTTTGGAGACTCACATTGTTCTGCAGTTAACGAGCCGAGGGTGCTGCCGTGAGCCCCGCCTCCCTCCCATAGTACTCACAGGCGCTCAGACTGACAGTTGCCTGGCCGCAGCAGAGCTGCTGCTGCAGTCAGAGCAGAGAGGAGACAACCACACTCCCCCGCGTCGAGACTGCAAATGAATTGCGCATGCGCCAACTGCCAAGCCGTCCTGGTTTTGAGCGGGATTTAAATGTTGAATGTAAATGTTTCTTCACTCACTTTCACACTATAATAAATAACTGCCTTTGCTTTGCCTCACACACAGCCTCAGTCACTCAATCACCTCGTCCACTGTGTGTGTGCCTCTCTGTGACAAGCTAAACATCATGGCACAGTCTAAATTGTATTCTCAAAAATACAGAAAGGAGTGGGAATCAAACCCTGAGTATAAAGGATGGTTGAAGCCATTTATTGGAGATGACACACGGGCATACTGCCTTTATTGTAAAGGGGATTTCTATGCCAAACTGTCATGTTAAAACCCCAAAACATACTCAAAAGGCAAAGACATTTCTGATCTACTGTCGTCTGGATTTAACTCCGGTGGTTTCAAGTTTTGATCCTTGAAGGGTTGGGAACGTTTTTTGCCTGCAGCCGCCATTACATGATATGCAAATTAGGCGATGACGTCATTTAGCAACTTCTGGCGACTTTTCGGACAGCCAATAGCTACTTTCCTTACTATGGAGTTGGCAACACTGCTGTTTTGCCGTGGTATCCTGGCACCTGCGTAGTTTCCGGCGACAAAGACTGCTGCTCCGGGGGCGAGGGCGGCGAGTCAGTAAGCTAGTGTCCACAACGGAGGGTAACGTGATGTCCCCATCTGACCTGTATACTGTCTGCAGTAGATGCAGTGTTGCTGGCGTTTAGTGATGGTTGCTTTAACCATTTTCGTATAAATGATTATCCACAGATGTGTCACTGCTGTGGAAGCACTTTGGAAATTATGCACGCGCAGCGGAGCAGGTCACGCGCACCTGCCACAATTTGTTGTTAAGTATTTTTCGCTCCGTTCTCTTTTTTGAATAGAGGGTGCATAACATTCTACCCGCACAATTTGTCTGATGTCCGAATGTCTCGCTATGTTAGTACCTATTCAGTCTATGGTTAGTAGGCCTACATTCTTAAAAAACAAAACACCATTTAATTTCGGGTTAAAATGTGTTGTAACTACGTTACTGAGCATTGTAACGGGTAATATATTACCCATATTTCATAAGTAATGCGTAACATTACTTCGTTACAGCAAAAAGTAATATATTACTGTAACTCCGTTACTTTTGTAACGCGTTACACCCAACACTGTTCGTGAGTCGGTTGTAGTTGTTGGGTGAAAAGCAAGCAGCTGTTTGCTGCGGAGCGCAGCGGGAGCGCGCTCCTTCACTACAGACTATCGCGCCACCTAACCATTCGCCAAAATGTTTTTAATACCAGCGGTAATAACCGACCAAGCGCCGGGCAAAAAACAATCTTCAAATAAAAGAAAGTCACCGGAGGAGTTAAAGGAGAGTGACAGGGAGCATGAGAAGAAGAGGGAGAGAAAGTTTCAGCCAGCTTGATCGATGGAGTTGGCTTCTAGTGGTGCAGTGACGCATCCTAAAACCATTTTATAATCTATCGATTAGATTTATGATTCGAAAATTATAAAAGTAGGGTAGACATGTGGAGATTATCCGGACGAGCAAAACGTGCATTTATCAAACAGGTTTGTTTTCCACAGACCTTATTTCCAGCTATTTTCCAAAACCCTGTGGAGAAATCCCATTGCTTTTTTGTCGAGGGAACCAGCAGCTTACTTCCTGGATTTAGGACGCGTCACTGGCTGCACCTCTCAATATGATGCCAATACAAACAAGGTCTTCTGTCGGCTCTGTACATCAATGCCGACCTATGCTGACACGTAAGTGAAGAGTAGACAATATAAAGGTATTGGCGAAATGTCCCAGCAGTTTAGGATAATGAAGGTTCTCATCAAATCTATTACATAGCCATTACATTTCTAACTCCTAATGACAGGAAGCCAGAAAGCCCATTATACAAATAATAATACGCATAATAATAGCAGACATTTTTTAACAATGACCACAATATCATTATTTTAATAAACCAAATATGAACAATTGAGGAAAATGAGGAAGAACTGATCATTCAAATGTTGTAGTACAAGTAGTAATGTAGTTAGTGCATAAATTACTATTGCAACAAATGTGTTAATTTTCTGAAGTCGATTTTCTTTGGACGAATGCTCTGGGCCAGTGGTTACAATGGTGGGGCCAGTGATAATACAATTCCACCGGCCTGGAGGGCCAGTGGCATTTTACCCTTAATGTCTACCCCTGTAATGCATGGGTGTTTAACATTTTAAAAAAGGATCAAGGTTTATTTTAGATTAACACTAAAGTGGTTACAGTAAAGTTGGTAACTCTTATATCTATACTCTGATTGTCATTTTTTGTTTAATATTTGTGTTTGTTTCAGTTACATGTGGAGGTGTAAAGACTGTGCTGCAGAGGAAGATTTCATTCTTACAATGCTTTGACAAAAAATCATCAGGAAGTAAAAAAAAAACGTCATTCCATTAACTTTTTCTGTGGTGCTGCAGCCAACAAGAAAATGTGTTGATTTTATGATTTGATTTATGTGTTTGTCTTTATTAAATGTTTGTAGGTGGAAGCAGAGTTTGCTCGCATCACCACTGTCCCACTGAGATCTAAGTTCATGCAGCAGCTAGATCACCACTCCTCCAAGCTGTTAAGGATTTTCCAGAAAAAAGGGGGTGCCGCTGGGCAGAAAATAAGGAATATCATGGCAGAATACGACAAGGTGTGTTATCTAACAAATGCCTGGTTATTAGAAATATTAGTTTTGTTTAAATTCATTTTTATTGTGCAGTTGTATTACTTAAGCATGCAGTAAAATATTGGAGACATGTGGCTGATGGAAGACATTTTAAGTCATGTTCACACAAAGTTTAAAATGTACTTGATCAAGTCATTTTCAAAATGAAAATGAATAAATTAATTGTATTTTCATCTAAAGAGATTTGCATATTTGTGTACCTTTTCTGTCGAATGTAGTAATACATAGTGTTTCATGAATGCAAATTCACATCAGTTAGTCTTTAAAGCAGAAGTTTGGCTTTTTTGAATTGCAATAATTTGATTTACTGTGCTGTAGATGGTAGTGAAAACATGCTTATGCTGAAACATATTTCTAAGATTATCATAATGCTTAGTTCCCAGTTAAATAAATACAGTGTCTTGGATTATAACATACATACTTTTAAAGTACAACTCACTACCTAGTAATAACCAAACACTTGCATTACAGGTGCTTCTTGTGGTATTAGAACTTGTACTCCAGTTGAATGCACATTCGGCCCTTCATAATAAAATGCACTTAGACACTGCCTGTAAATGTGAAAAATGGTATGAAGTTGCATGTAAAAAAAAAAACAGGATAGTTAGCTTGTGCATTAATGCATCTAGTGTTAAATGCTGCACAATGTAAAAATACTATTCCCCCACTTACGCATTTCCCTTGTCCTTTGTTACAGAATGACGCCATCGAGACTGTTACGATCTCAGGCACTTAGGATGTTGGACCCAATTGCAGACAGGGAGACAGAGGTAAAGTATTGGTAAGATACTTTATTTTTCCAATAAAACACGATGAACAAAAAAAGGTCACTAACTAATCTCAGGATGAGATGACAAAAAATGAGACCAAAAGGAAAATCGCTCACGTAGTCAGGAACAAAACTATTATTGAACACAAAAGAGCATAGACCTGACCATGGCAAGAGACAAGACGAACCGACACTGAACACTGGGAGACAGGGGAATTTAAACACAGGGTAACTAGACACAGGTGGGAACAATCAGGGGCGGGGCTGACACTGATGAGCACAGGAGACACACAAGGAGTGACAGGTGAAAACAATCAGGAAATTAGACACACCAGGGAAACTAACGACAGACATGAAAACATAGGGAAAAGAGACCAGACAATATACAGGGAGGAAAACATGACAAGGAGAACGGAAAAACACCCACACCTAGACATAGAAACGTGACACGACATAATAATCCTGACAGAACCCCCCCCCTCAAGGGACGGATACTTGACGTCCCTAAACAAAAACAAAAAAATCCAAAAGGTCCAGGGTGGGTGGAGGGGGTCCGGAGGACGGGCCTTGACTGACAGCCCAGGGCACGGCAGAGGACCAGGAAGGGCTCTCGGGCGGACGGCCCGGGGGCAAGGCAGAGGTCAAAAAGGGGAACTCAAGCGGACGGCCCGGGGGCAAGGCAGAGTTCGAGGAGGGGCGAAGACCACAGCTCTCAGGGGACCGGGCAGGAGCCGGTGTTGACCGGACAGTAACCAGAGCCGGTGGAACAGGTGTCGGCAAGATTCCCCACGGAAGAGGACAAGGAGTTGGCAGGACCCTCGGCAGGAGAGTAGTCGGCGGGGCCTCCAACGGCACAGGACATAGAGTTGGCAGGACCCCCAGCGGAACCTCCAACAACACTTGAGTAGGGACTTGAGTGGGAACTCGAGAGAGGGCTTGAGAGGGAACTCGAGAGGAGACTTGAGAAGGAACTGAAGAGGAGACTTGAGAGGGAACCGGAGAGGGGACTTGAGAGGGGATTCGAGAGGAGACTCGAGAGGGAACTGGAGAGGAGACTCGAGAGGGAACTCGAGAGGAGACTCGAGAGGGAACTGGAGAGGAGACTCGAGAGGGGACTCGAGAGGGAATTTGAGAGGGGACTCGAGAGGGAATTTGAGAGGGCACTTGAGAGGAGACTCGAGAGGAGACTTGAGAGGGAATTTGAGAGGGGACTTGTGAGGGGACTTGGGAAGGACCTTGAGAGGGGACTGGAGATGGGACTCGAGAGGGGACCTGAGAGGGAACTGGAGAGGAGACTCGAGAGGGGACCTGAGAGGGAACTGGAGAGGAGACTCGAGAGGGGACTCGAGAGTGGACTCGAGAGGGGACCTGAGAGGGAACTCGAGAGGGAACCCGAGAGGGAACTGGAGAGGAGCCTTGAGAGGGGACTCGAGAGGAGACTGGAGAAGAGACTTGAGAAGAGACTTGAGAGGGAACTCGAGAGGGAACTCGGGAGATGACTTGAGAGGAGACTCGAGAGGGGACCCGAGAGGGGACTTGAGTCGGTCGGTACGCCGACAGGACACGGGGAGCTGGCGTCGGCTGGAGAGCCGACAGGACTCGGGGAGCTGGCGTCGGCCGATGAGGAGGTGACGACGAGCTGGAGTCGGGACCATGACTGCTGGGGCCGGTACTTGAGCCGGAACCATGGCTGTATGGGCCATCTCTGGTGCAGGGACCATGGCTGCATGGGCCGATTCTGGAGCCGGAAACATGGCTGTAAGGTCCGGAGCTGAAGCCTGGATCATGGCTGTGTGGGCCGGTTTTGGAGCCGGAAACATGGCTGTAAGGTCCGGTTCTGGAGCAGGGACCATCCATGGCTGTGTGGGATGGTACTGGAGCACGGTACCATGGCTATGTGGGATGGTACTGGAGCACGGAACCATGGCTGCTGGGGCCGGAACCATGGCCGCTGGGGCCAGAACTGGGACCGGAATCATGGCTCTTGGGGCTCGGTCTGCTAGCCTAGACTTGCGACTCCTTCTCTTAGAAGCCGCCTGAAGGCTCCGTGGACCTCCAAAAGCCAGACGAGTTCCAGAAAACGACTCCTGGATAGGAGCAGGAACTGGGGCAGAAGCATGGGTTGACCCCAGACGGAACACACCGAGACGTCTGCAGTCAGCAGGCTGGAAATCATACATCCAGAGGAAGTTCAACATCCAGCCAGGTACGAATTTCACCAAGTCTGGTTTCTCCATAGCCAACCGGTGCGCCTCTACCAGAGCGGCCTCCCTCTGCAGAACACTGGACGCTCCCTTCCACCAATCATAGCAGCATGCCAAATAAAAGGAAAAATGTTGTAGCTCCACCTCAAAAGGATCATCTGCTGGGTCCATTTCTGGTCAGTTCGTTCTGTTACGATCTCAGGCACTTAGGATGTTGGACCCAATTGCAGACAGGGAGACAGAGGTAAAGTATTGGTAAGATACTTTATTTTAACAATAAAACACGATGAACAAAAAAAGGTCACTAACTAATCTCAGGATGAGATGACAAAAAATGAGACCAAAAGGAAAATCGTAGTGATGGCAGTTTGACACTGAAGCTTCGAACGGAGCTTCAACCCTGGACTTCCTATTCCATAGAAGCAGTGCTTCGAAGCTTGCTTCAAATCACGTGACATATGACGTCCGAAGCAGCAACTGCTTCAAATCACGTGACATGTGACGTCCGAAGCAGCAACTGCTTCATTTCCTGAATGAATCACTTGACTGGTTCACGGTCCATTCACGCGATTCAATGCACTGCCTCGTCTCGATTCTGACAGGTGACAGGTTGAAACAGTTTCAAACTTGAGTGCTTCAACACTTTATGACCGCTCTAAACAATGCACAATGTGTGGGTTGTTGTCGTAGTTTGCGTTGTTGCTGTTGAGTTGTTGTTGTTATTGCATTTGATATCATTATAGAGCAAGCCAGGAAGTAAGATAGGTCGTTCTGGCTCGGGAAACACTTCGAAATGTGGAGAAGTTGTTAACAAAAAGACAATTATCAGTAATATGAAAACAGTTAAATATTTCAAGGAATAGATAGTCCAGTGGATAGAGCCGGCGGCCCGAATGCGGCGATGTCCTCCGCGCAGCGATGTCCTCCGCGCAGCTGGTTCAAATCCCAGAATGGACGTATTTTAATCATTGCTTTTCAACTTTAATAACTGATAAAGGGCTCTCTCCGCCCAAAAACATGTCTAGCACTCTCTAGTCTCTTCTCAATAACCCAATACACACAATTATCAATCTTTAATTGCAAATAGAACATGATATTCAGTCTTTGTGTGTGTGTGCATCGAATATTTTTCAAGGCAAAGATACGTTAAACCCACTGCAGCCTTGCACTTCGCCAGGAGAGGTCGCTGTAACTGAAGCTTCGAGAAATGAACCTATTTCCGACACAATTGTCCAAGTGGTTTGACGCTTCATTCAAAGCTTCATTTTGCCATCACTAGAAAATCGCTCACGTAGTGAGGAACAAAACTATTCTTGAACACAAAAGAGCATAGACCTGACCATGGCAAGAGACAAGACGAACTGACACTGAACACTGGGAGACAGGGGAATTTAAACACAGGGTAACTAGACACAGGTGGGAACAATCAGGGGCGGGGCTGACACTGATGAGCACAGGAGACACACAAGGAGTGACAGGTGAAAACAATCAGGAAATTAGACACACCAGGGAACTAACGACAGACATGAAAACACAGGGAAAAGAGACCAGACAATATACAGGGAGGAAAACATTACAAGGAGAACGGAAAAACACCCACACCTAGACATAGAAACGTGACACGACATAATAATCCTGACAGAGACAAGGAGAGCCTGCGTTATAAAAGCACTAATTGTGTACCTTAATGAAGACCCCGAAAGCCTGATTAGAGAGTACCTTGTAAGTATTTGTGCCTCTGCTTTCCACAGTATTACCCTCTGGAAACGAAAAAAGTGATTTATTTCGTACTTTTTTGAGCTGGTTTTAAACAAACTAATGGCACCACAGGTTTGAAAGAGCAATCGGAAAATAACCCATATGCATGCATAGTAAAATTCCCTTTTCAAACTATCAACAGCAGATTGTAGACCGTTGCTTGAAGGTATAATTCATAAATGGAACTGTTGAGTTTCTCAAATTTTAAAGTTTTGTAAAACCATTTTCATATCCATGGTTAACTAAATACCCACAAGCCCCTAGCAGATACCGTCAACAACTAGAAAAGCTACACCCAATGTAGCCTGTAGGTATGCTTATCTGGGAGCTGTATATATGTTACTTAGAAAAAGTGTTGCTTTTTTCCCTTGTGTGTGTAAGTCTGGCTGATGGTCTATTTGTTCTGCCTTTTAGGATGTTGTGACTGACCAGAGTGTAGATGAGATGGTCTTGGGAATCTTCGCCATAAAGAAGGAAGGTGCAGAGCCAACAGATTCCCTCGCAGATGTGGGGATTGTAATTGAAGGTGTGGAAGTGCTGAACGATCTTCAAAACATTGCGAACGCATTGGCAATTTTATTTGGACTCACATATGCATTGGACTTGAGCTATTTTTTTTTTTAGATGCACGTTTGAGGTTCTTCAAAAAATCCTGATGGAAATGGAAGTTCGCCACCTGTCAACAAAGGCTCAAGTGCTGAAAAACAAACTGTTTGAATGAACTATTTGAACACTACAAGTGGAACGCCTTGAAACGGCACGTTGGAAATCTTGGAGCAGAGGTTTTATCCAAATATTTCAGAGGGAATTTTATATATGGAATGTTACTGAATAGTAATGTTACAAATTATTAATGTCGGACAGTTTGTACGTACAAGTTGCAGTTTGGGCTATGTGGTTCAAACATGTTGCTCTTTTGAACATTTTTGTTGCTAGCTAAATGTTGTGCAACTTCAACCTTTTGTGTTTGTTGATAAGGCGTGATACAAAGAAGTCTTTATGGGTTTCCATGATTTTAAACTTGGTAAACCTGGTTGCCTATGGTTATATCGCATTTCATGTGAAATAAATGTATTTTTTTCACTGAACAAAAGTCAGTTAATTTGAATTTACTTACAGTTTTTCTCGATTGCTAACACACTTCTTTTTTTTTTAAATTGCTCAGTTTCTCAGAACACTAAACACAATTCACAAAACCACACACCCAAAGTGCAAAACACCTCATTTCTCCTGCTAAATGAAAAACTGCACTCAAAACTACATAAACACTTTCCAAATGCAAACTTTTGCACCAAATATAACACACTTCATTCATAATACTAGATGGTTTGACCACCCAACTACACACTGCTGAGCATACTCTAAAGCACTTTCTTCTGTTATGGGCTATGCTCTGTACAGAGAGGTTTCTGCAGAGAAAGATTGCTTGAGTTTACAGAAATACAGTAAATGAAGAATACAAATGAGTTGTTGAAAGAAATCACATTTTATTCAAAACTAACATTGTGCAACATGCATCTCAGCACATAGCTACTATGCTTCGGATCTCTCCAAGTGTGATGCATTGTTTTCCAAAACCCAGTTTGTAACTGCTGCTTCCTGTGCCTCATTGAAAACCCTTAGCCTTCCACCTCTTTGTTTCTCAGTCCTTCAGATAAACAACAAAGATATAGTGGTCGGTCAGTGTCTGTGTTGCATAAAAGTAAGTTTACCACAGTACATTGTGCAGGATTGTTGTACAGTTATAGTATGCAACATGCTAACAATTAAATTACAGTAATGAAGTAAATACGTTTCACACAACAGATATAAGCACTGATATATCATGAGTTATGCAGAGCTACAAACTGGTAACTAACCTGTTTTCAAGTCTAAGTGTCCGGATTACAGAGAGCGACAGTAAATCGGCTTGGATTAGGCTGAACCCTCTGTCCAGCCTCTCTCATCGTCACACCATGGTTGATAACATTTCATTTCATTAGAGAGTATTCTTCTTCTTTGTCCACGTCCTCTCCCTCCAGCTCTACCTCTCATTCGTCCTCCTCTCACTCTCACCCACCTCTTCCTCCTCTTCTCACTCCCACCCACCTCTTCCTCCTCCTCTCACTCTCAGCCCAGCTCTTCCTTTTGCTCTTGCTCTTGCTCTTGCTTCCATGTTGGCTTCCATTGTTGCTGTAAGAAAGTTCTCACCTGTGGTCTTTTTATAGTGCTAACATCCTGATTGATGAGCCAACCATTATGCAATCAGGTGTTTGGTCAGGTGGAACGTGTTTCTTGATCATTGGTCCATGTGTGAGGCATTTTGAATATCAGTGTTTTAAACCTGCCAACACGTGACTTCATCTCAGATTCCTGTGTCTTACGTGGAGAAACGTGTGCAGTGGTTTGCACAAAGTGCCATGTTGATTTGCAAATTGTGTGAAAAGCTGAAAACGTGTTTTGGAGATTTGAGCCGATGTTTTGCTCTTTGAGTGTCAGTTAAAATAATTGTGCTTCAGGTAGAATTTTAGTGTGTTAGCAACCGAGAAAAACTGTAACCTGTTTCCCATTGACATGTCAGTAAGGTTTAAGGGGTTAAAATGAGAAAGTGGAGAATACGCACCAACCATGGGATGTTTGTCTCTGACACGGAGAGAAAGAGGGTGGGGGGGGTTGTTATGAAAAGATGCCAGAAGAGAGGAGAAGGGTGTTGGATGGGTGGAGGATGGTAAAATGTGCTGAGGTCAGGTGTGGGCCAAGAGCTCGCTCAGTCCCCCCGGGCCTGTGGTATTTCAGAGCCCGGTGCGACACACAGTTTGTTACACCCTGTTCCAAACCTTTAGTTATCTAACCAGCCTGCACGAGGCCAAGCAGACTGTGTTTCTCTCTTTGCCATCCTATTTGTCCGTCGTCTATACCTACCCCAGTTAGGTACGCTGAAACACTCAGAGCAGGGTAATAAACAACAAACGCATCATCTTTACATAATGACTTTTTGTTGAGTGAACAGTTTAGTCTTTAATTGTATCTTTAATCTGTGTGAATCTGTGCTGTCCTGTTTGTCATTCTTACCCTGTTGCTGTTTAAACCACTGAATTTCCCCACGGGATTAATAAAGGTCCATCTTATCTTATCTTAAATTGATTCCTGATGGGTTAAACACCAGCTTCACTTTACCTTTATCTAATTCAGGTAACATACATTTTTTTTCGTATTACATATATTCACCTAAACTGTTGTCCTTGATGCCAGACAGAAAGGAATTTTAGGAGATCTGAAATAGTTACTCTGTTACTCACTGTGTAACGCTAACAGGGCAAGAAGTTGTTAGCAACTGATTTGATAGCTCTGATTTGACACAACATTTGAATCTACATTGGTATAATGTCCTCAATACTTGTTTGGAACAAATATACTATAAAGTATCAGAGAAAATAGGGACATTTGATTCCTTCATTTTTTGTCACACGACAGCACAGGGTCAAATGTAATCCCCTTTAGGACACTTTCATCTAGATGTCTGCTTTGCTTTGATTGGTTGATGATTGATGTTGTGGCCTGGTCTCTGTTTTTATTTTTCTAAACTGCAGTCACAAAATCACCCTGCAGTGTCTGCTGAGAGGGCTGGAGAGGAGATCTGCTCAAGGTAACACCGTTTCCCTGCTCAAAACAAAGCCCAGACAGAAGCGAAATCATAAAACCTGGTTGTGATTGTAAGTTGTTTTTTGTATGTGTACATCTTTCACTCATTTACCTTCTGTACACTTCACTAGTTTCTTTTGGTTAAATATGTGTTATCCCGCCATGTCCTCACTTCTCCCCCCTCCCATCAGGGCACATTAATGGTGCAGTACCCATTTTCTATAAAAAAGAAATACCTCAATTATCTTGGTTACCTTTGCTAACGTCAATGGATTGTGTCTACAGTGCAGGTACTTTGCTGTAAATGTCTTGTATACTAGGCCATATTGTTCTGCTAATGGCCTTCACTGTAGAGTAGAATACACTCGAAAAAATAATTTCTTGGACTTACTTAAGTTATGTCAACAAATTCCACGAAACTGAGTTGAGTAGCTTATAATTAAATAACACCAGTAAGAAGAATATAACTGACTTATGTTCAGCCAACACGACCGTGTTAATTAACTTCAACAATACCCGGTCACCCTGGATTTAATTAATAGCTCTGTGTCCAGCTAACTTAACTGAGCAATATTACGTCAACACAGTGCAGTTTCTTTAGACATACTTGATTTTTTGATTAATGCCAACATAAAGATATTATATAATACTAACTTAACTCACCTATATTCATTTTACTTAAAAGTAAGATCTGCTATACTCAACTGTATTTAGTAAGATCAACTTAACTTTAATTTGTAGTTCCAATTTAACAAACTTAAATCATTTTGGAAACTACTGCATTCCATGTTACTTAACTGGTATTCATTGCTATAATGGAAGTCATTTTAAGTTCACTTACTAAACCAGACTATGTCAACAAATTCCACGAAGTGTAGTTACAGTTTTTCTTGATTGCTAACACACTAAAATTATACATAAAGCACAATTATTTTAACTGACACTCAAAGAGCAAAACATCGGCTCAAATCTCAAAAACTCTAAACACGTTTTCAGCTTTTCACACAAATTGCAAATCAACATGGCACTTTTTGCAAACCACTGCACACGTTTCTCCACGTAAGACACAGGAATCTGTCCTAAAGTCACGTGTTGGCAGGTTTAAAACACTGATATTCAAAATGCCTCACACATGGACCAATGATCCAGAAACACGTTCCACCTGACCAAACACCTGATTGCATAATGGTTGGCTCATCAATCAGGATGTTAGCACTATAAAAAGACCACAGGTGAGAACTTTCTTACAGCAACAATGGAAGCCAACATAGAAGCAAGAGCAAGAGGAGAGGAGGAGGAGGAGGAGGAGGAGGAGGAGGAGGAGGAGGAGGAGGAGGAGGAGGAGGAGGAGGAGGAGGAGGAGGAGGAGGAGTACTCTAATGAAATGAAATGAAATGTTATCAACCATGGTGTGACGATGAGAGAGGCTGGACAGAGGGTTCAGCCTAATCCAAGCCGATTTACTGTCGCTCTCTGTAATCCGGACACTTAGACTTGAAAACAGGTTAGTCACCAGTTTGTAGCTCTGCATAGTTCATGATATATCAGAGCTTATATCTGTTGTGTGAAACGTATTTACTTCATTACTGTAATTGAATTGTTGGCATGTTGCATACTATAACTGTACAACAATCCTGCACAATGTACTGTGGTAAACTTACTTTTATGCAACACAGACACTGACCGACCACTATATCTGTGTTGTTTATCTGAAGGACTGAGAAACAAAGAGGTGGAAGGCTAAGGATGTTCAATGAGGCACAGGAAGCAGCAGTTACAAACTGGGTTTTGGAAAACAATGCATCACACTTGGAGAGATCCGAAGCATAGTAGCTATGTGCTGAGATGCATGTTGCACAATGTTAGTTTTGAATAAAATGTGATTTTCTTTCAACAACTCATTTGTATTCTTCATTTACTGTATTTCTGTAAACTCAAGCAATCTTTCTCTGCAGAAACCTCTCTGTACAGAGCATAGCCCATGATGAACGTGCTTTAGAGTATGCTCAGCAGTGTGCAGTTGGGTGGTCAAACCATCTAGTATTATGAATGAAGTGTGTTATATTTGGTGCAAAAGTTTGCATTTGGAAAGTGTTTATGTAGTTTTGATTGCAGTTCTTCATTTAGCAGGAGAAATTAGGAGTTTTGCACTTTGGGTGTGTGGTTTTGTGAATTGTGTTTAGTGTTCTGAGAAACTGAACAATTTAAAAAAAAATGTGTGTTAGCAATCGAGAAAAACTGTAATAGAAACTTCAAACTCCTGCTGTGAAACCAATTTCTATTTGATGTATTTCACACGTATAAGGCACTAAGTATCAAGTATCTGCTTTTCAGGGATATCTATTTTAAAAACAGACAGAAACAGAAGGAGCAGATGCAGAGTCTGTTGGTAGTGTTCAAACTCTACAACTAAAGATACCAAACACGTCAGATTAACAATTGAGCAAACAATGCATTGTTATTATTGAATAG